GGTGGCAAGGAGGCTCTGCGTTCTACCTCACTGTCTACTAATTCTACATGAACAGGGTCCACGGATTGAGTGCTGGGCGTGCACTGGGTTTGCAATGTATCGGCCAGCAGCTCTGCTTTTTCGTCATCATCGAACGCCGCGAGTCGGCCTGAGGGGCCTACGAGGGGGGGCATAGTTACTACCGTATCCGATTTGAGAGTACGAGCTAAGCGGTAGTAAGACCTTTGGGAGGTACAGGGTCTTTTGCACCCGCACGGGTAGGTACCACCACCATGTCTGTTTCTGCCGTGAAGCGGTAATGCGTTTCGGTTCGAAAGGTGAGGCAGACGTCATATTGCAAAAAATGAGACTTAAAATTCATGTCTCAATATGGACACCGGCATTGACGTGGTTGTTGTCTATGGGCTCCCGTGACCGGTTAAACCCAGGCGGGCCGTGAACTCTTCCACCCATCTTAGCAATAATAATAAAAACTTAACTTATGCTTTGTTCAAATTAGTAATAAACTCTTCCTCAAGCAAATCTTACTTTTACCAAAAATCTATATATTAATACGTGAAGCAACAAATTTGTATCCCTTTTTACGAAAATTGCGCGGTCGGAGGAGTATGAAATTTTCCACACTTACAGAGAATATAGAGAAGAAGTGCACAATGCAATTTTTTTTTTAAATATGGCATAAAATATACATTAAATCAATAAAGAAAACATTACGCACACTACCGTGTATTTGACACAACACATACTTACATAAAAATATACTCTTTGTTTACTGTCAATTGGGAAACTTTTGTTATTGTTTAAAGTCTGTAGTCGAATTGAAAATAGATTAATATTGTTTGTCATTAATATTATTGATCTATAGTCCAGTTTTGGCGAATACTGTGATAATATTATCGAAATATAAAAGTGTTTCACAATAGAGCCATAATAATGTTTAAATTTATAATTTCAATTAATTATTGTCGAATCTCGACTACTGCTGGGCCACTAGTCAATATAAAGTCGTCAGTGTTGTAATTACTGTGGAAGAAAGTGAAAACAAAGTAAGTATGTAGATATTTAAATTATTATAATACTTTTACACACAACTTAATGAATAAATAAAAGATCTTATCTCAAAACATTACACGCAAATCTAACCTTAATTTCGTATGCAATAAAAACAAATCCCTTCACGAACGCATGTAATCTTATCTAAATAATTCATTTTGCATCGATACAAATGAATGTGAGCATTATTTTTAACGTTTGAAATACGAAAATCGCATAAACCGACTTACGTTCTCATAAGCAAGAGAGATTCGGTATTTAAAATATGTAATGCAATCAAAACACAGATAAAACTCGAAAGCGAACCTGCGTGAAACGTAACGACACGAGCAGGGAAATTATGAATTAATCCGAGCCCGCTTATTTGTCACGTACACGGATTATATTGCAATTATCGTGGCACGGAACGTTTTGAAGTAGTAAGTCTAAGTCATTAGGAAAGTTTCTAGTTTGATTTTTTTCGAACGCAGCCTAAAAAAGCGGACGTGATTTTTCATTTTACAAAAAAATTATAATTGTATTATTGTGGACTTTCCAGCTTTAAGTGCTAAAAGGTACTAGATGAAAGTACGTTAAAATTAGGAAAAAAAAAACAAAAAAGTATCCTGGATTTTGAGAATTGTAAGGCAAAAAAGGAACGTCAAAAAATACATACTATTTTTATAATTTTTCTATATTTTTAGTGATTAATGTGCCAAAAAATTTGAGTATAATAATTTTGAAAATAAATTTTGATGCAATGAACATAAATGCTATAATTATCTAATAGCTACATCTAGCTTACCTATTTAATGGAGATTTTAAATGGAACACTAGATATTTTTAAAGAAATCTATTACGTATATTTAATTTTTTCAATGAATAATTTGTTGACTGTTTTTTATCAATCAAATTCAATTTTAATAGATTTTTTAAGAACTTTGACCTGTATTGGCCATATTATTATGTTTAAATACCTTATTGAAAACAGACGCATTTTATTTGTATTTCATGAAAACGTGCATTGAATTAACTCTAAGATAATGTTTAATTAGATTATCAACTAAGCCTTTATCCTGTACGTTTTATTTTGAGGGCGTATTCGTAGATTGAAAATTAAATTGAAACAAGACTTATTCGCGCTTAAACCTAATTACAATTTTACATTGAAGAATTTTCATGTGAACTCTCCGCTTATTACGACGCAAAACGAAAAGTCGAGAACGTATTCAACAAACACTACCTAAACGTTAAATTATTAAATTGTATGACGTTTTAAACGCGCTCGGTCCCGCGATTACGATTTGAAAGACTCCGTAAACAGTGACTGAAGTTGTAAGATATTGTGGAAAGAAATTCAGAATTACTGAGCGTATTCTGTTAGTTAATAGCTTTTTTTCCTACCTAGCTGAGAGCCTTGAGAGGCTATTTCAGCGTAACCTTAACTAGTAGGTGAGCTCACGGGGCCTGACGAAATTGCTAACACTGACCTAAGCAAGAGCCGTGCTTCGCAGAATCTACCACCGAATCGGAAACGCGACCCACTGAGAAGATCCGGCGAGAAACTCAGTGGGCTGTGTCTGAGTTGTATTAATTGTAATAATCAAATAAACAATAATCATGATCATTATTTATGTTTTTTTTTATTGCTTAGACGTGTGGACGAGCTCACAGCCCACCTGGTGTTAAGTGGTTACTGGAGCCCATGGACATCCACAACGTAAATGCGCCACACACCTTGAGATATAAGTTCTAAGGTCTCAGTATAGTCACAACGGTTGCCCCACCCTTCAAACCGAAACGCATTACTGCTTCCCGGCAGAAATAAGCGGGGCGGTGGTACCTACCCGTGCGGACTCACAAGAGGTCCTACCGCCAGTAAAAAAAGGCTTCGGCCAAGAGATAATCGTCTAAGTTTAACGTTAGCTAAAATAAATACATTAAGATCTAGATGAAAAAAAAAACAAGTCACATACGTGAATACAGCTCTCAAGATGTCATGAACCAAAGATTTCCCCGGTGGTGCTAAATGGGTTTTCGCTTCGCAAATACTTCTGACAACGCAAGCTTTACCGTTCATGTTGCGTCTGGAAATGAATAATCCTTTCAGTGAACATTAAATGATCGATCGATGACGAACATTATGTTAATATATTTTTAAATTGTTATATTTATTTTAATATAATAATAATAAGTAATAAGTAAAAAACTGGGAACAATCACGCATGGTCACTCGGCCCCAATTTCCCCTGTGTTATGGGTACCAAATTACTATCGGGTCGTCGCGTCCCCTTACTGGGGCGCGGGACAGGCCTCAGGGAAACCCCTCTGCCCGGGCTTATGACTTCCTGCCTTTTGAGGCAAGGGTGATGCACTGGTTGATATTGGTGGGACCGAGTTCTTTCTTGATCTCTTCTTCTTCTTCTTCTGTCTTCCTTCTTCTCTTTTTCTCTTCTCTTCGTTCTACAAGGGCGGCCGCTTCTCTCCTCCATTATTATTTTTTTGCCGAAGACTGGCACACGCACTTAAATAAGTTTAAATATAATATGCATATATAGATAATCAGCATCCAGACAAAGAACAAACAAACCTGTTCATCACAAGAATGTTTGCCAGATGTGGGAATCGAACCCACCACACTCTGCGCAACAATTTCTTAATTGCGCTCCTGCACATTAGTGCATTAATCCTAATTATATTGGAACGCCGAGTCGGATATTATGTTCATTGTTAATTTTTAGATTTTTTGTCCTAAATTCGTAAAGCTACTGAAAATTTTTAAGTAGGAATCTATACTGCCCTTTATTTCACGATAGTCTAAATATAGAAGGACTATATAACTGTGAAACCGCACGGGTAACTACCCGTACCTCCACCACCCTGCCTAATTCTGCCGTGAAGCAGTAATACGTTTCGGTTTGAAGGGTGGGGCAGCCGTTGTAACTATACTGAGATCTTAGAACTTATATCTCAAGGTGGGTTGTAGATATCTATGGGCTCCGGTAACCACTGTACACCAGGTGGGCAGTGAGCTCGTCCACGCATACAAGCAATGAAAAAAAAGCTTTACTATTATGACATTTTTGTTTGATCTGATGAGTGAACGAACCCATGGCCTAACCTTTTGGTAGTTGGAAGCTATAACAACATGGTACTCTCAACCCACTTTGGGACATGAGGTCTTTCCTTTAAAATTAGAACCCGTACTTCGGGACAGAATCGATGTGGTTTTGTAATACGTCTTAACACCACTTTGCGTAAAGAACAATGATTAATCATAGAGGTTTTTTTTTGTACAGAGAAAATATTTTATTCGCGGCGTATATGTTTTTTTTTTATTACACTTTTAAGCAGACGAGCATAAGGCCCACCTGATGGTGAGTGGTTACCGTCGTCCATGGACTTCAGCAATGCCAGGGGCAGAGCCAAGCTGTGCCTACCGCTTAATACTCTCCACAAGCCTCTTTTAGAGAAGGACATGTCATAGCGCTCGGGAAACATCGTAGAGGGGAGCTCATTCCATAGCCGGATCGTACGTGCCAAAAAAGACCTCTGGAAACGCACTGTCGATGAACGCAGCGGTTCCAGAAGATATGGATGAACTCTGATCCGATGGCGGGAGGTGCGATGATAAAAAGGAAATGAGAGGATCATCTCAAACAATTCCCCAGAGCACTCCCCATGGAACATACGGTACAAAATACGGAGGGAACCGAATTCCTCCGCAGATCCAGAGGTTCCAAACGATCCGTGAGGATGGGATTATCGACAATCCGAACGGCCCTCTTCTGTATGGAGTCAAATGGAAGAAGCTGGTATTTGGGAGCCCCAGCCGAGAGATGGGAGCAGTACTCTACACGAGGCCGGACTTGTGCTTTATAAAGCAAAAGTCTTTGTAGACTTTTTTTCGTAAATATGCCGCGAATACTGAAACTGTGAATATGGAAACGCGCCTTTACAAAGAAAATTCAGTTGGATGCCTACATATTGTTTCCTTGTGTGTATCCTTTTAATATTTATGTCGCGATTAGATCCGCGAATGAAGAAATCGTTAGCCGCGAATATAGGAGTTGGGTTACATTTTTTTAATTCGCGAATTATGAAAAAGCAAATGAAGGAAGCGGGAATAGGAGCTTTTACTGTACTTTTATATTCATAGGGCGAGTTTTGTAATATCGTTTATGCTATTTAATAACGAATCATTCTGCTGATTTTGATATGCCCTTTTTACGTATCAAGTCCTAATTTGTTACTAAATTTATAACTTATTATAACCTTTATTTATATGCCATCCAAAATATAGGCTGTTCCATCCCATTGAGTTAACTTGAACTGTTGGTAGAAACATGGCATGCTATCACTAAAAGCCATAATATATATTTTACCTTGGATATTAGGGCTTTGGACAAACAATACTTCAACCCTTAGTATCTTTTGTATCATATAGTATATAAACTTACGAATCTAAAGCTCCCTGTAAAGTCTCCCAAAACTCTCGCTTCTGTCTGTGATGAAGTTTTTTTCTGTTATGTGCCAATATGACCTTCGCATCGGGTAGATGATACACAACATCGGCTTCAACCGACATAAACCAACCTGACGGAACGTGGGTCATAAAAGTTTTGACTACTGAAGTGGTCATCTGGAACAAGGTTTCCATTACAGAACATGAAAATGCTATTAAAACGTCATGTTCTTGAAATAATTATGTGATTATTTCAAACATTTCTAACTTAATTGTCAGTAGTTCTTAAAAGTTGCAAATTCCAAATCTGCACATTTATTCCGAAAACTTAAACGGTGAAAGATTTTTACTTAAAAGAGTGTGCAAGAAAATATGCTTTGAACTATTCAATGTTGAATGAAATATAGTATCTATTATCAGCAAAACACCATACGAAATACAAATCGTGTCTAGCCTTTTTGTATTTTGGAAAGTAAAGGAATTATCACATTAAGCACGCTTATCTTTCTTTGTCTTTTAGTACGATAATTGATACTTACAGAAACAGTACTTCCGTCTGGAAATGTAAGATGTCGTCTTTTCCTTATGGATCCCAGAGGATTTTTTATATTAGGGCACTGGTTCACGCTACACAAACCCTTGGCTAAAATTGATAAAAGTACTATGAAGATCAATCGCAAATTCTTCTTCACAATCATTTTTTCTTTTCGAATACTCTAGTGATTCTCAGGTTTATTTAATTTCTTTAAACGTATTCCATTTTGGAAATTCGATTCTTCCAATCAATGCAGCTCAGAGCCATAGGGGATCTCAGTTTGATGTGAACGTGAAGTAAAAAATGAATTTTTTTGTGTCTATTTTAGATTATTATTCATTTACACGTAGCACGCAATCATTGCATGAGCTATCTTATGACCTATGTTGAGATTTGTGATAGATTAGTATGGAATACTTTTTTAATCCATTCAAACTTTCCAATTCCATTAATTTAAAAAAATATTTGTTCAGTTTGAAAAAATATTAGCTATATTTAATGATCTTAATAATGTTCCGAAACCAATAAAAGTCTATAAATTAGTTGCAGGTGAATAAACCTATAAATATTTAAAATTAAATATTGAAGTTTCTTCAAAATCAATCAAATCTATTGAACTTAACAGGTTTTTTTATCATCCAGTTCTGAATTTTGACTGAAACTGAACTGAAACTTTATTTTTTACAAATAATGACATATTAAATTAAATAAAAAGGTATTTATTACCTTGAAATACAAAAATGCATCATATTATTATACATTAAGATACTCCATCAGTATCTTTTTGTATCTTTACATAATATTCCACTGTTTTCTACTTCTTACCATCATTTGAATTCATTTGTGGCGGAAAAGTGGTATTTGCCATATTTCATTTAAAAGAATTAGAAAAAACCCCCTTCATATTAAGTAAAGCAGCTTTTATTACGCAATATTGAGATTTTTTCCCGCTGGTCAAAACTTTATATAACATTATCGGAAGATTTAGAAGATATGTCATAAAGGTTTTGGTATCAATCCAAATTATGCATACATCTGGCAATTGGTATATCTGTTAACAAAGTGCGAAAATTGAGATCTATCCTTAAAATAAAGTTTTTTTTTTTTTAAATTGGTAGTTGCATATCACAATGTTCAACATATAATTAAAAATCATAACAATAACAACTGGCTCACGGGTTGTTATTTTCAACCATCTACCAATAATATAGGTTAATCATTATGTGGCAGAGATTTGTTTCTTATTATGACTCTTCTTAATTTATCATAGTTAATAGATTAATATACATATATTAATAGCACAAAGATCGAACGGCCGATGGGGCAGAAAGACTTGCGAGTGTTGACCACATACTGGCAAGCGCAGTGTCAGACAGCCACCCACCAAATGGAACAACGACCTAGTGAGAATCGATGGGTTACGTTGGATACAGGTGGCAATGGACCGGCCGCCCTGGAGATCAGTTGGGGAGGCCTATGTTCAGCAGTGGACAGTGGGCACGGTGAGATGATGATGATGAAGACGGATATGAAATGAAGTAAAATAAACCCTAACAGAAGAAAAAAAAAGTTCCTCCCTACGGCACGTTGCAATAGACATATTACTGGATGTATTACTCAAGGAGGTACAGATAACGTTAGATGGGCGGCATTGAAGAAAAGGATATGGGATGAAGTAAAATAAACAGAAGAAACAAAAAAGTTTCTCCCTACGGCACGTTGCAATAGACATACTACTGGATGTATTACCCAAGGACGTACAGATAACGTTAGATAGGCGGCCTTGAAGAAAAGGATATGGGATGAAGTAAAATAAACAGAAAAAACAAAAAAGTTCCTCCCTACGGCACGTTGCAATAGACATACTACTGGATGTAGTACCCAAGAACGTACAGATAACGTTAGATAGGCGGCCTTGAAGAAAAGGATATGGGATGAAGTAAAATAAACAGAAGAAACAAAAAAAATCCTCCCTACGGCACATTGCAATAGACATACTACTGGATGCATTACCCAAGGACGTACAGATAACGTTAGATAGGCGGCCTTGTAGAAAAGGATATGGGATGAAGTAAAATAAACAGAACAAACAAAAAAATTCCTCCCTACGGCACATTGCAATAGACATACTACTGGATGTATTACCCAAGGACGTACAGATAACGTTAGATAGGCGACCTTGAAGAAAACTGCTAAATCCCAATGCAGCACGATAAGAAGACATGCTACATAATGTGAGATATGGACAAGAAGAAGTTACGAAGGATATCGTAAACAACAACGAGCAATGGATGAATCGCAGCTAGACAGTCGTATTGGTGAAAAATTGCAATCGTCTCCTTGATAACGCTGGAAATCGTTAATACGTACGCGCCCTGACTATAACAATGTAGATATTATTAATTGTTCCGAGTAGATTGAGGCTCTCCTTTCGCTACATTCATTCGCTCGCTCATCAAACCGTTAGTCGATCGCGTTCTCTCAGCCCACTTTCATATCTTCGCAAGTATGTAGGTATTTCGTCTTTGATACTTTTTTTCTTTTTCGTATCAATTTTGTGAGTGCGGCCATGGTCGTCATTCATACATATACATATTATATATATATTTATGGTACTACAAGTACCCAAATAAATGAATTTCCCGAATCATTGTTTCGTCAATTTTTACAAGTATATATATTACAGTGTTGATGATAAAATCAGTCTTAGTTTTCTTTCAAATTCGTGTCGCTCATTTTGAATATCTTTTAGTAGCGTTGGGAGATTCATCGAACGACGATGCAAATCAAAAGCTTTCCAGCCTTGTTTTGTTACTGTCTTAAGCCAGTAAGCTTTTGCTAGCTGCGGACGAATATGATCAAGAACCATCAAGATGTTTTTACGTCCCATAGCCTTGACTTCAATATCCGCGTTTCGCGATACATCTATAGAGTATTTTATCACGAAAAAAAGAGATAAAAATCTAATTAAATGAACGATATTGTATTGGACAACTTAAAAATATGTGAACTACTCCTATAACAAACTTTACATGCTTACATATATCGTTCTACATACAATAATATGTAGAACTATATATCTAGTCTATATGTAGAACATGATTTGCAAAATATTTCTGACGTAAGCCAATTTTTAAGATTAGGTTTTTGTATTGTTCCTTTATATTTTAGCGCGGTATGTGTGAAGTTTCAGTATCTATGTACTAGTTCTCTGTGTGTTTTGCAATCAGAAATTCCTCGGGGATTATTCTGAGGAAAAATTTGAGATGATACAATTATCTCTTTTTTACCACGGTACTACTCGCCAGGGCAAACTGCTCTCTAAATATATATATAATTTTAAAACTGTTCTTTATGGTTAACTAATCGGTTGACTTTGACGTTTTCGATATCCATTGTGTTCTTAACTGATTACCATCAGTTGGAACCAAGCTCGTCTGTCTGCGAAAGCAGTTACAAAATACTTATCTAGGTACTATAGGTAAAATATATTGGGTATGTATGCTACTAGCCGTGCTCGTCCGCTTCGCTGGGCATTTAAAATTAACATTATTATTATTAATTATTGTCATTATTATTAGGGAGTCCAATACTCATATAAATATTATCCTATCCATTAAGTACATGTATTTCTTACATGGATACCAAGTTTCAAGTCAATCAGATGCTTGGTTCAGTAGTTATAACAGAACATCCGTAAAAACCACTGTAGATTTATATATTAGCATAGATACTATTAAAGACAAACAATATTAATCTATTCTCAATTTGACCATAGACTTTAAACAATAACAAAAGTTTGACAATAAACTATGAGTATATGAGTACATAAGTTCTGGGAGACAAACTATATTTTTCAGGTAGGTACCATTCGGCCTACTACTGTCGTGAAACTGCCATGTCCTCCAATTCGAAGAGTAAAATAGTTATTATCACAAAATATTTTACTGTGTTCTAAATGAAGCGGATAATAAAATAAAAGTAGCAAGAGAATATCCACACTATTCTGTCGTTGTTAGAGGAATCGTGAGCGTGCCGTGTTCAGTGACCCGGGATGTTGGATCAAAGAATTAGAGCGACTGCCGCGCGCGCTCATTAGCTCCGTCACGAATAGCGCCTTGAAGGAATGTCTCGGTACTGTCGCGCTGTAATATCAACGAATTGGATATTTGACTTTGACCTAACTTTTTTTTTCCTACCTATGCTGATAGCCTTGAGAGGCTATTTCAGCTTCACCCTAACGTGTAGGTGAGCTCACAGGGCTCAAACCGGAGTGTTGCTAACACTGGCCCTAGCAAGAGCAGTGCTTCGCAGAATCTACCACCGGATCGGAAACGCGACCAACTGAGAAGATCCGGCGAGAAACTCAGTGGGCTATGTCTATGGGCTAATTCGCTCATCGAGCCCTTCGTTGCAAGCGACAGGTTCGAGGAGAACGGTGACCGGTGCTTGTGGTACCTAAAAGCACCGTTAATGGATCGAGAGGATCCGTAATGACGTGTTTTGGGCGACGTCGACTGTTTACCATTCGGTCTACAGGAACGGGCATGTAGTTTCCAGCGGCCACGACAAGAGGGTTCTCATGTCGTGTCGCCTTCTCAAAGTGTTGACCTAACAACTTCAACTGAACGGGTAAATTTTGCTCTTATAATGGTCAAAGATCTCGAAAAATCCAATCCGCCTCGCCTGCGTTGAGGGTCGTAAAAAGTGTCTTTAGAATTCTCTAGAGAATGTTCGAGTATTATAAAATCACACTGCGATTGTCAACTAGTATGTGAATTGGGGAAATTATGACAACCTGTCTTTTTGGGGGGAGTCTATATCCAACAAGCCGAGGATAGGCGGGAATGGCGCAGGATAATACAGGAGAAAGTTGTTAGAGGAGGCCACGATTCTCAGCATTGAGGATAATCGACGCAAGGAGAAGAGATGTTCAACATAAGAGTAAGAGACCGGGTTATGTCGGACTCCGGCGCCTCCAGAGAAGAACAGGGAGAAGAAGAAGACAGGGGTCCTCCTCTTCTCCCAATTCCTGCCGGGAGACTACGCCTTGAGAAAGGAGCGCGAGGCACTGCACGGCGTCAGCCACGCAAGAGCTACCCCGCAAAACCGACTACCGACTAAACCCCATCGAGCCCCACCCCTCCGACTCCACGAAACCCACGGTACCGCACAGTGCGCGCCGAAACTAATACTAGCCCTAGCAAGAGCAGTGCTTCACAGAATCTACCACTGCATCGGAATCGCGATCCACTGAGAAAATCTTCAACTTGTGTTAAGGGCGCTCGGGCAGCTGTTAGCAAATCCCACTCCTCCTGCCTGAGCCCGTGCTCACCCAGATATCCTGGTGGAACAGGAAAGGCCTTTGGGTCACCAGTAACCTTCTTCTTATAAGGAATAGCCATTTAAATGGCTTCTTTCCTTAAATAGATCTCTTATGTGACAAAAGACTTCGTTAAATGGCTAATCACATAAAAAGGATTCTTAAAATAATAACCACAAAATAAAATTTATTCATTTAAATAAAAACACTTTTCCAACCGACCATACCACAATTTCCACAGTATTGACATTGTACTCCCGCGTTAGAATCTATCAATATTTCGTTTTAAATTCGTACGCCAATAACAGATGTTTGCTTTGAGATGTAAACGAATTCTGAGAATGCTTTATAATTAAATATTGTTTACACTTACTAATGCCTGCCTTACTAATGCCACGCCCTTCATGCGGCCAATGATCGAAGGCGCTGGCGGGACATTACAAGGAGCAAAATCCTATCGACATAATATAATGGTCACGACCCTCAGCAGTGAGGAAACGTCGCGGGGGGGAGACACTTACTAATAAACTGCTTTTTCTTATAACGATTTTTAAATTTGATTACTAAAGAGTGAGCAACAAAACTAATCATCAATAAGTTATTTGCGATACATTAAACTATTATTTAATCACAATATAGCGTATTGATGCTAATTAAGGAGATAGAGAGAGCAAGAGATAGTAGTATCTTCTTTGATTTTTTACGAGTCGTGGACAAAATTAAAACTATTTTTACGATTTACCAACCATGACCATCAGTCATGCGTGACCAAGAAAAGTATAAAATATTCGAAACGTCATTGACAATAAAAACACGATTTTAATCCTTAAAGTAGTTTAATTAGGTAAGATAGTTGTAATCATCAGATAGATGAAAAGTAACTATGTTCTTTGCTAGTGCTTTCTACACTTATTTCGGTAAAATCAGTTGAGCGTTTTAAAAATGTAATACACACAATTTTTGCCTATTTTAAAAAAAATCCTTTTTTTTATTCCGTATTTACGAAGCAATTTTTAGGTATATTCCACTTCGTAGTACGTTTTTAAGCCTGTAAAAATTACATGAAGATTCGTTTAGTAGATCCGGGGATATGCCCGAGCAACGTAACATACGGACAGACAGAAAAATATAGCATATAAACAAATAGCTGGTTTATGTTACACTGGCTCTTTTTTAGTTAACACCTTTCTTATACATCCGATTCTTATTTTTTATGTAATCTTTTTTAAATATAAATAGACAAATACACAAGAGTTAAGTACCATTATCTACTCTATTTTAAAACCGATATTCTTTTTTTTTATAACAATCAACGAGGTTTAAGAATTCTCAATATATTTTTAGTTAACCGTTATGGTTTTTTCTTTAAAAAAAGAGAAATCCTTCCATTTGCCTTCGTTGTTTTTCAACGTTATTTTTTTTTTATAGCTGTTGTCAAGTGTTAGCAATATTTTTCCTTAGTTCTTTTTTTTTTGTTCAGTAATATTGAAAAATTAAAAAAATACCTTTTTTTTAAATAACAAAATAAAATTGAAAAAGATAACAAAAGAGAAAATTTTATAAAGAAAATAAAAAATTAAATATTAAAATAATGATTATTATGATAATACTTTGGTCGAATTCTACATGATCGAATATTGATCATTGGCTAACACGAGTTCTAATAAAAACAAAATTACTTTGTAACAACAATTTGTCTATCAATACCGTTCATTTAGAGACAAAACAAAATCCAAAAAGGAAAAAGGACAATCGTTTGGCTTGCTACAAAAACTCGGATCGGACAGTTCGGCGTAAGTACTTTTTATTTCATCTTGAAAATCTTCATCGTGCAATGGCGCCCTGAAAGTCGCAAATACACAGAAACTTATGATGTCGTATTGGACAATACCTTTTTTTGTAGCGGGTGGGTTTATCTGCTTTTTTTATTATTGCTTAGATGGGTAGACGAGCTCACAGCCCACCTGGTGTCAAATGGTTACCGAAGCCCATAAACGTCTACAACGTAAATGCGCCACCCACCTTGAGATATAAGTTCTAAGGTCTCAGTATAGTTACACCGGCTGCCCCACCCTTCAAACCGAAACGCATTACTGCTTCATGGCAGAAACAGGCACGGTGGTGGTACCTACCCGTGCGGACTCACAAGAGGTCCTACCACCAGTAATAATCTGGTGACCACTTAAGACCAGATGTTCCTTGAGCTGGTACATCCATCTAAGCAAATAAAAGCCTTATCAACTGGCCTTATCAACTGCCTATCTATTATCAGCTAACTAATAATAACAATGGGATAAACATACGTGAATACAGCTCTTAGTATATCATGCACCAGTGACTTTCCTGGCGCCGCCAACGACGTATCAGCCTCACATACACTACGTAGTATGCATGATCTTCCATTCAAATTTTGGCTAAAAAAAAAACAACCATGAGAAATTACATTAGGGATCATTTTTAAAGCCTTGCCTGATTTTAATTAAAAGAGGGTAGTGCACTGGAATCCTCCAGCATCTAATTCCACAGGACCCTCACCTTATTTTCTAAGCTAACTATCTCATTACTCTTTTTTTTTTCTCCCACCTATGCTGATAGCCTTGAGGATATTTCAGCTTCGCGGATCGGAAACGCGACCCACTGAGAAGATCCGGCGAGAAACTCAGTGGGCTGTGTCTATGGGTTAATTCGCTCGTCGAGCCCTTCGTCGCAAGCGACGGGTTCCACGAGGACGATGACCGGTGCTTGTGGTGCCTAAAAGCACCGTTATGGATCGGGAGGATCCGTAATGACGTGCTTTGGGCGACGTCGACTGTTTACTGTTCGGTCTACAGGATCGGGTATGTAGTTTCCAGCGGCCACGACAAGAGGGTTGATGCCGACTGTAGATACTTACTGACAGAGTCGAGCTCCAGGTCATCGTGGAGATCCACGTTCCTCAGGAACCATGGTGTTCCGACGGCTATCGTGCAGAATCGGGATTGAATAACCTGAAGGGGCTTCAAGTTGGTGCGGGCCGCGTAAGCGAACACTACGATTGCATACGTCATGACGGGGCGTATGCAAGTTTTGTAGAGCTACTCTCTACCCCGGAAACCATTCTTATGTCAGGTATTCTTAAAACTGTTTTTTTCGAATAATAAAAAAAAAGAACAGAGTAGACAAAGGCTTGAGAATCTCCGTCAATATACAGAAAGCTTTCATTACAAACGTAGGAGAGCGCTTTCGAAACAAAAAAAAAAGCCAAAAGTAAATGCTCGATTTTCGCTTGTTCAAAGCATTGTTCAATTTTTGCGCTGAACGTTACAAACTTTCACTTTAAATGATCACAAACAAGTTCAGTAACGCCGCCCCTGTATCCCGTTATTCTCAACACTACATACAGTCGGGAATTCAACGGGTGGAACTTTCAACAGAAATTCACAACACGCGTTCAACACAACACAAGTTTAAATTTTAAACGGTATCCCATCGGAACCATTGGTTGCAGTTGTTACGAAGTGTAGTCGTATTCGCATATCAAAGAAATGACAAAATCCTTAATCGCGCTTAATAAACACTAAACTACGTTTTATATTCCAAAATTTTCTTGAAACATTGTAATGAAAAACAAAATAAAAAAATTACCCTGTCATCGAACAGAAAATAGAGGATGTGCTTATATCTATTGTATTTCACTTTTTATTTGGAGTGAATCCCTATATGAAGTCACAATATCTGCACTGGCATTCATGATATTGGGTATAGACTTCTGTTCTTATAAAGCCACCATAATATTGCAAACTTTGGCCCAAAGCAGTCATACTTTCTAATGAAAAGTATTGGCAGTCGTCATACAAGTAAACGACCACATATCTCAAAATTGGTAGCGGAATTCACGTTGTAATGTCAATTAGTTTTGTTGGGTACTTAACATCAGCTAGACCTTATCCAACAAACGAATAGGCCAATAAAAATGTGATCTACTTCTCTTGGTCATTGTCGTGGCGTGCAACCTCTTTGACAGGACATAAGACCTACAATGACTAGACATAGACACAGAATAAGACAGAGATTTGAAAATAATTCGAAAAGAAATGGAACGAGGGCGTACGTGACCAGCGGCACGGCAGTACATTTTTTGACTTCGAAAAAGACGGACAAAAAGATGAAAAAGAACGAATTGACCGTTCTCATATAAGACAACAATAGTACAGACGACCGTTCAACTGATCCTTCGACCGTTCAGTCATCTACTAATATAATGTTTTCTTACAACTCAACAGCATTCTCCAGTCTCTCCCAGAATTCTCGTTTCTGTCTGTAATGATACTTCTTACGGAAGAGTCTGTTCGTTTCATTCATATTTAACATTGGATACATGACGTCAATCTCAATAGCTATATTCCAGCCCGACGGTGCGTGCGTCATAAAGGCTTTCACCAGGGCGATCGTTAGCTGAAAAGAATGTTGCAGTTAGTAAAATACACGATAACCAATAGTCAGGTTTTTGTAGTCGTCGTGGCCTAAAAGATAAGACGTCCGGTGCATTCGTACCGGTGCATCGGTGTTCGAATCCCCCAGGCGGGTACAAATTTTTCTAATGAAATACGTACTTAACAAATGTTCACGATTGACTTCTACGGTGAAGGAATAACATCGTGTAATAAAAATCAACCCGCAAAATTATAATTTGCGTAAATACTGGTGGTAGGACCTCTTGTGAGTCCACACGGGTAGGTACCACCACCCTGCCTATTTTCTGCCGTGAAGCAGTAATGCGTTTCGATTTAAAGGGTGGGGCAGCCGTTGTAACTAAAATATATTGAGACCTTATATCTCTAACTTATATCTCAAGATGGGTGGCGCATTAACGTTGTAGATGTATATAGGCTCCAGTAACCCTTAACACCATGCGTTTCGGTTTGCCTTCAAACTTTTTACAGTACAACGGCTGCCGTACAAGGGTACGGCAGCCGTTGTACTGTAAAAACTAAGACCTTAGAGCTCATGTCTCAAGGATGGCGGCATTTACGTTGTAGATGTTTATAGGTTTCGGTAACCACTGAACACCAGGTGGGCCGTGAGCTCGTCCAACCATCTAAATCGGGGAGGTTTACGACGAAAGGAAAGATCTTCCACCAAGCTTATCTTGAAAACGTCGTATGCGTGATTTAGGCATCTGTCAAATATCTTGTCATGTGTTGTATGATAGCTACCCGCCACATAATCATTATCATAAAAAATACTTTGGTATCATAAATATAAGCAAAAAGACCGCGATTATGTAGCGATGCAATTTAAATCTGAAATTCATATTGAATGAAATAGGTACGTTGGACTTTTCCAGGATAATGGGTTGCTTGTGTCACTGACTGATCCATAAGATAGAGAGAGAGAGAGAGAATAGACTTTATTGCACACCAAAACACAATTTACATTCAAAAAACAATCAAAAAAAAGCAGATACATTTGTACAATAGGCGGTAAGATACCAGTCGATTAGTGGATCATGAATCAGCGAATGCACTGCCGTATGTACTGTAGTACACATGCTCGCCCGTTTCCATAGTCATGTCATATACCATGATAAAAAATATCAAATATGTATTTAGCCATTCTTTTGCAAAATTTCATGTTGATGCTCTCTACTGTTCCAATATGACAGCAGTCGCGCTTTAATGGCTATGGATAATCATTATAGCCTGATTGAGTAATTTGCTATATTAATTTGCATTTTACTTTGACAATAGAAGCCTTTTTAACACTCCTAAATTAATTTCACTTTTATCTATTTACTAGCTGTACCCGTCCGCTTTGCTGGGCATTTAAAATTAAAATTATTATTTCGCACCCCCGCAAAGATTCACATCATTAAGGCCCCCGCAACTGGTGTAGGGAGTCCAACACTCATATAAATATTAGCCTATCCATTAAGTACTTGTATTTTCTACATGAACACAAGTTTCAAGTCAATCGGAAGTAGTTATAACGGAACATCCGTAAAAACCACTGTAGATTTATATATTAGTATAGATGTAACGCAGACCAACTTCAATATGACCGATTAATTGGAAAACTTGCGTACATATCAAGAACTAATAGTAATACTAGTTTTCTACAACTTTCGATCTAATATCCTGGCAATATAACCAACTAAAAATATAATTATTATTCTGATTATTATTTATTCTTAGTTTTTGAACTACATTTTTTAATTGTTTTACTTTATCAGTTACCGGTATTTAGAGAACCTAATTAAAGATTAATTATAATAAAATACTTACCACAACACTTGAATGATCCGGAAAAGTAAGATGTCTCTTCTTTCTTATCAAACTTAACGGTGTCTTTGAATTCGCGCAGCTATCCCGCGATTCTAATGATACACAATATGTCAGTATCATTAATAATGCTGACAATACACATAAATCCTTCATGATTGAAGTCTTAAAACCGAACACAATATCCACGAGTGCTGTGACCAGTCACGGTGGTGTTGTGTCCTCTAGATGGGTTATGTTTACACTAAAACAAGTCGGCTTTGTCACGTGTCTGTATATAAATATTAGAATACATTATAACCGATGTAAGTTTTAGTGGAGACATGTTAAAAAAATTCTGACAAATACCTACCGTAACAAATGTTTGGGTGCAAACAAATCTATGGAATAGTACTACACGCAGATGACCGTGAATTGGAAAGATGGCGGATAAGATCAATTTCTACTGAGCTCTGATATAGATTGATTGATAAATAATAATGATTTTATTTTTGATCTTCAATAATCGTTAGCGGAATAAATTTTTGAAAAATAATAATTTTGACATTTATTAACTGAACACTTTTTTTTTGCGGAATAGCAAATGGCCCCATGTTGATTAGCCACTTATGGGCATCAGTAATGCTAGAAGCAAAGCCAAGCCGTTGACTACCGAGAACTCTCCTCAAATCTCCAAACACCATAGAGGGAAATTCATTCTAGAACTCAGTGAAATCTGCTGCCAGCGGTGCGATGGTCAAAAAGAAGACGAAAAGAGCATCTCAAACAGTTTCTTACAGCAGTCCCCATGGAACATACGGCTTAAAACACAAATAGAAGAAGTCGTCGTGGCCTAAAGGATAAGACGGCCGGTCTCATTCATATGTAGCGATGCATCGGTGTTCGAATCCCGGCGGCATGTACCAATTTTTCTAATGGAATACGTAAACAATGTTAACAAAACAAATGTTCACGATTGACTTCCACGGTGAAGGATTAACATCGTGTAATAAAAATCAAACCCGCAAAATTATAATTTGCATAATTACAATTAAAATTTAAATTACATAAAAAGCTAATTTGTTAACAAGTCGGCAATTGCTATATATACAAATAAAATCTGCGTACTGGTGGTAGGACGTCTTGTGAGTCCGCGGGGGTAGATACCACCACCATGCATGTTTCTGCCGTGAAGCAGTAATGCGTTTCGCTTTGAAGGGCGGGGCAGCCGTTGTTCTGTTAAAAGTGAGACCTTATAACTCATCTCTTTTTTTATTTTTTTATTACTTAGATGGGTGGACCAGCTCACAGCCCACCTGGTGTCAAGTGATTACTGGAGCCCATAAACATCTACAACGTAAATGCGCCACCCACCTTGAGATATAAGTTCTAAAGTCTCAGTATAATTACAACGGCTGCGCCACCCCACCCAGGTCTCAAGGGGTGTGCATTTACATTGTAGATGTCCGTGGGCTCCAGTAACCACTTAACACCGGATGGGCAGTGAGCTCGTCCACCCATTTAAAAAATATAAAAAGCGAAGTCCTTCCATAGACCCACAAGTTCTAAACGACCCGTAAGAACAGGCTTATCGACAATCCGAACAGACTTCATCTATTTGAACGCAAATGGTAGTTAGTACCCGGTATTTGGGAGCTCCGGTAAGTATTATGCAAGGCCGGAAGAACTATAGTAAACATTCGCAACATTATTGGCCTAAGATTTCAATTAAAGTAAATAACCAATTAACTTTATCTTGAGTTTTTGTTATCTCAAAATGTGTTCTGTACCTCAGCATTTGAAAGATTTTGTCAACAAATAACTCAATAAGCACTAGATTGAATCGTATTTTTAACTCGCATTATTTTTGTTGGGCGTATCTAATTTTTTTTCATATATTATATTTGTTGTCCTACATTAGGTGATAAAGTTCATGCTAAAGTTTCTACAAATAATAACATATAAAAAAAATGGCAATAACTGTTAAGAAAAATACGAGCATGAACATAACCCAGTAAATATAGTATAACTTTAATTTTATAATATAGCAAATCAAAATAATTTAACATAAATCAACTCACACAGTAGAACAAATCTTCCAATGCGCTTGAAGGAGGCACAGCTCCCAAGATACTGGCTACGTTACCTCGTTGGACAGCCAGACTCACTCTCTGTGCAAAGTGTAACCTCCGTGGAGCGTTTGGAGATTTCTGACAAAAATTTCTTTGTCGGAAAATATTAAATTATGTACATTATTAAAATGAAAATTATATCTAAATCTTAAAGAAAAAAGTATCTCACATTAATTTCTAAAAGCAACAGTGTTTTGAGTTCAACGACCTTTGCCCTTTGGCTTTTTATGATCCATTACGCAATTGGTTTCTTGAGGTCTAATAAGCGCGATAGCTCATTACGAATTTTGAAAAAAATTACCGTATTAAGTTGTACTTCATTGCTCTCTCATTAAAAATACAACTGCATATCTTTAAAATTTAATAAGTCTTATAATAAACATTTACATGTTAGTCTACTCAGTTGTAGGCACAGCGAATCTACCCTCAAGAATTGACATTATATTTTTTATCTATAAGTCACTAGCGGTGATAAACGTATGGTCTCCCTAATATCTCGACATTGGAGTCATAACATTGCATACACACGATTTCAACTTGTGTGTGTTCTATTCTTATTATAAATGTTGAGCCATTCACAGTCTAACTAACATAAGACAGCGGTGAAGAAGAAATAAGACTCATTAACAACAACAACAACAACAGTAGCAAGATCAATATTTGAAGAAATAATTAGCAACCCAGCCTGTCTCCCTTTAGCTTAAGAACTCCGAGACATGATAGTAAATCATGCAAATGCAGCATAATTGGTTCGTCTAGACTATACTGTATAACTTAACGAAGGCAACTATTTGTTCCAAACTGCATAAGTCTGTCTTCTACAATGATACAGCAGTTATTCGTAAAATTACATATCTTTAATATATATTTCTTCTGTGCGTGTGCTTGTCCTCCTCCTAAACGGCTGAACCGGTTTGAACGATTTTATTGTATGCGTTTGGGTGGCGCCCTGGATGGTTTAAATTCACAAATCAGCCCGGCAGATGACGCTGCAGTCGGTGTTTAGATTATTTATCTTTCCTCGAAATAAATTATATAGCAAAATAACGTTTGCCGGGTCACTTAGTACCTTAATATTTTCACTTTACAGTTTTCATGCGTCTTTGTTTACTTAGTGACTTGGAGATGTTATTATAGTGATTCTAATCTTTTTCACTCATATATAATACTAGCGGCCCGCTCAGGTTGTTGTTTTATTTTTTTAAACAAAAGAACACTTATTGCGGCATAACTATAATAGTTAGACATGTGCTGTCGCGACACTTTTTGTAAATAATAATGCGTTCTACAAAGCCGTAGCACATTATTTTATTATATTCTATCATCAATAATTTTCGCGGGGCACGCGATGTAAAGAATATTTTAGGTAATTTTTTTACACCTTGGGTTACATTATTGGAGTTTTAGTAAGGACCCCTAATTTTTTTCAAAAAAGATTGTAGCCTATGTCACTCGGGAATAGTGTAGCTTCCAAATAGTGAAAGAATTTTTCAAATCGGTTTAGTAGTTTCGGAGCTTATTCAATACAAACAAACAAACAAATCTTTCTTCTTTATAATATACTAGCGACCCGCCTCGCTTCGGAAACATTAAAACACACATGAAACCAAAAAAATAATTTTTTTTTTTTTTTAAANTTGCTCTGCATGTTCCAAGTATCACCAAGACTCACCCCCAACAAGGAGGAGGAAAGGAAAGGAATAGAACTGGCTCTCCAACCCACATGCCGGAACACAGCTAGGCTATTTGGCGGCAGACTCTAGTTGGAGGGTGGTCGCCAGCCAGTCGGACTAGGTCCTACCACCGATTGTGTTTTCGGCTCCCGTTTAGCACCACCCAGGGGTTAATTGTAGGGAATCGCGGGTTAAACCTACGGAAGCGGGAAGCATCAACCCCCACGGCTGAACCCGTTTGAACGATTTTTTTCTGTATTTGGGTGGCGCCCTGGATGGTTTAAATTCACAAATCAGCCCGGTAAATGACGCTGCAGTTTTATTATTTAGTTTAGTATTAGCAGTGTTTATATTATTTATCTTTCCTCGAAATAAATTATATGGCAAAATAACAATTGCCGGGTCACTTAGTACCTTAATATTTTCACTTTACAGTTTTCATGCTCCATGATTATTGTCTATGTTTACTTAGTGACTTGGAGATGTTATTATATAAATAGTGATTCTAATATTTTTTACTCATATATAATACTAGCGGCCCGCTCAGGTTCCGCTCGGGTCTTTAACAAAAATTTCAACGATATTAAAATTTGACGTTGTTTAATTTTTTTAAGTAAAAGAACACTTATTGCGGAATAACTATAACAGTTAGACATGTACTGTCGCGACACTTTTTGTAAATAATACAAAGTCTACAAAGTCGTAGTACATTATTTTATTATATCCTATCATCAATAATTTTCGCAGAGCACGCAATGTAAAGAATAATTTAGGTAATTTTTTTACACCTTGGGTTACATTATTGAAGTTTTAGTAAGGATCCCTATTTTTTTTCAAAAAAGATTGTAGCCTATGTCACTCGGGAATAGTGTAGCTTCCAAACAGTGAAAGGGTTTTTCAAATCGGTTCAGTAGTTTCGGAACCTATTCAATGCGAACAAACAAACAAATTTTTCCTCTGTATAATATTAGTATAGATAATATAATTATGTGAATTTTCGTACGTTTGGATGTGTTCCAGTCCATTGCACAAAAACGGCTGTAAGGATTTGCATGATATTTTGCATATAGTGTACTTTTTAGGATCCATATGATACTTTTTTTCCAGGACATGACCAGAATAGCGCCGGGTACATCTGCTATAGGAAAAATTACAGTATACAGAGAAAATATGTCCTTTTTCAATGAACCCAAAATTTAGAGCAGGTATGGAATGTCTAATGTTAATAATAATAATGATAAAACCCTTTATTCCGAACTACATGGATGATGCAATTTAACATTTTTGGATTTATCCATTTTATTTCTTATAATATATCTCGCAGTTCGGCGGGCCTCTTGGCATAGGCCTCCTCCAGCTCTCTCCATTGAGT